TTCTCATTTCCGCTTGTTTCTATTGGCAAAACCATGTGTACCAGGTCATCTATGAAGATGTTTTGTTTAGCAAGGCCTTGCATGAATTATTAACTATTCATCAAACTATGTGAATTGCAGTCTTGTTACATCATTTCAGTGATCATCTAGAAAAAGGGATTATTTATTACAAAATGTAGGGCAGCATACAAGTTTAACAAATTATTAATATTGTGAATCAGATGTATGCTCTTTATATTTTTCCAGTTATGAAAACTCTTGTCAAGAAAACTTCAGTGAAAATTCGTAACTGCTGTATTTCTAGTAGCCTTGCTGAACATTGTATTGTACCCAGTTTAAGATGCTTTTAATATAATGCTTGAATTACTGTAAACTTTGCACTGTTCTTAAATAAATATCTAAAAGACATCTAAAAACTGGGCTGTGCTTCTAAATATATTTCTAAATATACATTTGTTGTTAATCCTTTAACAACCATCTTCTAGAGATAAATATTAAGTGCTGGAAAAAAGGTTACTAATGTGTCCAGCTTCAACGTTTTAGACAAAAAAAAAAAGCTATAAAAGCGGCAGACAGAAATAGACCTTGATATACATCATCACAATTTTTTGTAGTTGTACTCATCTTCCACCTTTTTGGAAGATCTAATTAGAGCAGCATGGTTAAAAAGACTCAGAAAGCCTCCCAGGACTCTGGATTTTATTCAAGTATTATTTTTTTTAAATGTGGCCAATGAAATTACTATTTTAATAAGATACAGTAATTATCTTCTCTTTAGAGAGAAATCAGCTTTGATTCAGACTCTACATTTTGATATGGTGGAATGCTGCAAAGTTGTTAAGCAAGATGTATTTTACTATTCTGACCAAAAAATCTCCAGTGAATTTACTATTGTTCCTTTCTCTATATCTCTATTCTGCCAAATAGTATATGTGGTTTATCTAGTATGGCTTTTTCCTTTATTCTTTTTGTCTCCTTATGCTTACCGTTTCACAGAGCCAATTATGTGTCTCATAAAGGAGACTCTAACCATGGAAATCTATTTGATCATGTTTAAGAGAGTGGGCACAATTCATGTTGGTGACATCCCTTAACACTGCAATTTTTTAATGTGAAAATTTTGACATGTCTATTTTTGTCTGAATCAAGTATGCATCCGCCTGAGAAGACCAAGATCAGATGGAAGACTAACATTAAGTAATGCAATAATCATACTTCCAAGATCACTTTTGAAAACCAAAATGGAATTAATACTTCCTGTGTATTTGGCAATGCTATCCTCAATATCTCTCTCAATCAAATATATGGAGTGATAGGTTCCTTCTACATTTAATTCCATTTAGACTAGCTACCATTGCTTCACATTTTTATAAATTGATAGAAAGTTTCCCATCTCTTAGAATATATGTCTTATTAAACTGATGCATGTATTTGTGAGCCTTAAGTGCTATTTGCTTCAAAACACACAGATAAATCAAAGCAAATTTTAAATAGAAGCAACAATGGAAGAGTCTGTCATCTTATTCTGTAAACTGTCTAGCATTATGATTTCATTAAATTAAATATTTCATCTGAGACAACATAATACATACTTCTATGTCTTATGCGTATTGAGCGCAAATAAAAGTATTTGGACAGCGCTGAACATGTGCAGGATCTAAAACAATGCTAATAAAAACAATTAAGCAATTTAATTCTCAACAGAAAACATATAGTATTTTATATGTAAAATAATGCAAAGTGGGATGTACAAGAATGTAACAGATGTGCTTTGAAACATGCATTGACACAAACAAACCATCTCTCTTTAAATAATTAAAGCAACTGCATTTTTGGCAAGACTAGCATAATTGCTTTGATGCCCTTCTTTGCAAAAGACACAGCTGCTTTAACTACTTAAAATGAAGTACTTTGTTTCCATGCTTGTGTATTGCAAAGTACTTATTTTCAATGCTCCATTATTTTTCTTTATATGAAAGGTGACAGAATAATATACATATACATATACATATACATATACATATACATATACATATACATATACATACATACATACATACATACATACATACATATATATATATATATATATATATATATATATATATATATATATAAATTAAACCATACTTATTCTACACAATATTTGTTATAAATATAAGAAAAAACAAATATACCAAAATTCATAAAGGTTAACGTGATGTGGTGTTCACAGCAAAAATTTCTTCGACTACACTGGGAGCAGGCTTTGCAACTAAAATGACAGATGTGCAGATCAATAAATTGACAGTGTCTCAGCTGTGCTCCTCCTCCAAATTGTCCATAGAGCTATCTGCCTTTTAAACATTAAAAAAGCCAAATAAAATGTTTTGCAATTCGTAATATTTAGTCTTAAAAAAAAAAAGTCAAGGGTGTTTGCTTTTGGTTTGTCTTTTACAAAGGAAATGATAACAATGACTGAGACAGAGAGGGAAAGAGAGGGCAAGCATTATGTCCAATAACTATTTAAATACACAGTTATAAAATTATGCCTGGTTCTTCTTCTAAACTTCACTGTGAAGTGAATACATACATTTTAATGAAACAGGAGGCTTTTACAAATATATAAGTATAGTATGTTCAACCAAAAATGGATCCAAAAAATACAGGGCAAAATAATTCTGATAGATTCTGATATTTTACATGCCTGGAAAAAAATGGTCACTCAAGTTCTTTAAAAATTCATATGTTCTGCGTAGTATTAGAGCTAGAAAAACAATAAGTATGTCATGATACTTTCATCACATTTCAGAAATAGGAAAGGGACAGAATATAATTTTCATGTAACACATACATAATAACATTGTGGTACTTTTTCCTCTAAGAAAAACCACATTTCCAACAAAATCTACATTTTCAACTAGAGGCCAAACAAGTAAACCACATGCAGATAAATTTTGTTGCATTCAATTACAGTCAAAGGCTCTTTCAGGGATTTAGCCTGCATGATCAGTGAACAAAGAAAACGAACAGGAGGAGGTATTTTCATCCAATAGCTAGATCATGCAAAGGTAAGCATAGAGTTTACCTAAATGGGATATGAGATTCTCAATCACATGGGCTGGATCTTCCATGAACACCTTTTACACATTGGTTAGGCAGCATTTATGTGGTATGTTAAGAGGCCAGAAAGGCTAAACAAAGCTCATATCACTATACTATATAGAAGGCAGTTATTTTGCTAGTATACTTCTATTTAAGTATAAATATAAATAATAATATAAATATTATCTATAATTTCTTATCTCAACAAGTGGCATACATCATAAAACAGTAAAAATAAATTTCAAACAATTCAAACAATACAAAATAAACATATATGGAACTATTGCCATGAATGTTAATACATCCAAGAAATGGGGTCCTTAACATATGTGGCACCCCAAGTTTCAGCATACAGCCAAGTCTTCATGGTCTTACACAAAAAACAACAGGATCATGGTTATCCTAATCTTTAAAAGGAGAATATTCCAGAGGGCAAAGACTATGGAAGAGAAGGCACAACTCCTGGTTTGTGCCATCAACATTCCTTCACACATAGGGCCCATAACATGCCCAACCTGTGGGATAAAACTGAATGAATAGAAATAACTGGGAGATGATGGCCCCTTACAGGGGTGGAATTCAATTTTTTTAACAACCAGTTCTATGGGTGTGGCTTAGTTGGTGGGTGTGGCTTGGTAGTCATGTGACTGGGTGGGCATGGCCAACTTGACATCACTCATGTCAAGGGGCGCTTTACCTCGCCTGGCGTCTTGTGACTGTGGGGATGCTGCAATGGTCATAAATGTGAAAAATGGTCATAAGTCACTTTTTTCAGTGTCATTGTAACTTTGAATGGTCACTAAATGAACTGTTGTAAATCAAGTATTACCTGTACAAAAGTACAAAAAGTTTCTTTGCTTGCAAAAAGCTGCCCTAAATACCAATCATTAGATTAAAAATACCTGCAAGCCAGAGTTACAAATCAGGCAGGGTGGCAGAGCACCTTGAGGAATTAAAATATTTAAAATGCAGTGATAACTATCAGCAGCCAACTCTTGCTGATAAAGTGAAACCCTTTATCAGAGAGGTCATTTAAGCTCTCCAGAAAAAGCACACCCAGGAAAAGCAATCCTTAGACCCATTTGCACCACTTAAAAATACCAGCTGGTCTCACTCACCTCACAAGATATCCTAAGGAAATCATCCAGATTTAAGGAAAGATCACAGAAAGGCAGTAAAAAAAATCAGTGCCAAGCGTACATCCTGCCTTTTGGAAGTACACCCCAAAAGGACAGTACCAGATACCACTAAAGTGAAGGAAGACCCCCTCCCCAGATAGAAAAAGAAACCATGATGCAGGAAAAAATTCAAACACAATACAAATAATTAAATCACAACAGTAGCTGCTGCTTGTTGAAGCTGAATAGGGAAAATTATCCCATCAATAAACACAGGATTAAATGTTACCAAGCACAGAATTAACCTTCATGAAAAACCAGTTTTAGACCAAAACTTAGAAAGGGTATGTAAACTCACGTTTGAATGTCAATCTTTCTAGCTAGCCAAGAAGCCTTGCTGAATGTCACTCATCTTGGTTCCCTGTCAGTAAAAGCTTCTTTCTGACAGCTCTGCTTCATTATTCAATTATTTCTTCAAAGTGCTGATTGTCCAGGGAAGTACTTCCTCCCAACAGCAGTGTACAAATCTTAAAACAACCCTTCCCCTTTAAGAAAGTCAAGCCCCAGAAGCTCTGGAGACAGAAAGTCTAGGCGTACTGGCAAGAATGTAATAAGGGTGGGAAAAAACAAAAGGAGATTGCTTTTAACTGGTTATAAAGTTAACAAGGGGTTCTGTAGAACCGGTCAAAACCAGTAGAATACCACCCCTGGTCCCTTATGTAACCTATCCCCAAGCCATGAAGGGCTTTAAAGGTCATGACCAGAACCTTAAATTGCACCCACAAAGAACACTGGCAGCCAGTGCAATTCACACAGTAGTGGTTTTATATGTTGAATATTCAAACCCTTTACTACACATGCAGCTGCATTTTGCACCAGTTGAAGCTTCTGAATGCTCTTCAAGGGCAGACCCATGTGGAGCATGTTGAAGTAATCCATATGAGAGGTCACAAGGCATGTGTGAATACAATCAATCCTCCATATCCAAGAATTGGTGCAACTGACACCCAACCTGACATGGCTGTGAACTGCTCTTCTAGCAAGAGCAGTGCTAAGAAGATCCCAAACTACACACGGGCTCCATCTGGGGCAGTCTGAAATGCCATTCTGAACAGCTAATCTATTAAGTGACTTATTTCTGGTTTTAGAAGCAGAGCTTCAGAAGTGTACCATTTGGTATCAGGGACATACAACTTTATTTCAGAACAAGAACCACATTTGATCTTACAGTAGCAAGCCAGGAGCCACATTCCAAAATCATGGAGGTCAGGACAAAAAAAAATGTAAGAGAAGTAATTTCCCGTAATTGACAAATGTACTGTATATAACTGTTCAAATGCAGCTGTTATAATTACTATTTTTCTCTTTATGTCACATTATAAATTACAATTTGATAGTAATACTTGGAAGAGCTTGAGGACTGTATGCAGCCTGGAATCTCAGAGTCTGGATCTCTGGTTTATATAACAGAAAATTTAAGTGGTAAAGCATTATGCTTTCAATGCCATTATAATGTAGCCAAAACTGCATAGCACTGAATAAAGATGTGACAAATGAAAGAAGCAGCATTTATTTCCTGTATGCCTAAATAATAGGTAGAGGAAGGTGTACTAGGTATATTCATCATCTTGAGTTATTTGTAAAAATAGTATAAATAAATAAATGAATGATAAATATAAGATTTTTCTATCTAGAGGCCTGCCTTTACAGGTAGTCCTATACTTACAACGGTTCACACTGACCGTTCAAAATTACAATGGCACTGGAAAAAGTGACTTATGACCATGTTTCACACTTACAACCATTACAATATCCCCATGATCATATAATTAAAATTCAGGTGCTTGACAACTGCTTCATATTCATGCAATATTTCCTTTTGCAAACTTCTGACAAATAAAGTTAACGGGGAAGCCAGATTCAACAACCATGTTACTAACTTAACAATCACAATGATTCATTTAACAACAGTGGTAAGAAAAGTCGTAAAATAAGGCAAAACCCACGTAATAAATGTTTTACTTAGCAACATAAATTTTAAGCTCAATTGTGGTTGTAAATTGAGGACTACCTGTACTAATTTGACCCATTTTCAGAGTTTCCATACCTCATTCTAAACACCTGCAATACCACACTTCAGCAGTACTGTAAGGGACAGAATTGTTGAAATTTAATATTTTAAAAGAAAAGTGTGTGTGTGTGTGTGTGTGTGTGTGTGTGTGTGTGTGTGTTGTGAACTGCACTCAGATACGAAAGAGCAACATCTACATTTTAATATATAAAGTGCAAAATATTTGGGCAAAGCATCCCTTTTAAATGAATACAATTCTGCATATACATTCAATGTTTACAGTTTTTGAAGATAAAAAAATAATTCCTTCTTTCTAGGATAATCTTATAAAGGTCTGTTTCCACAAGAGTTAAAAATCAGCAGGTGAGTAAGCAAAAGAATTTCAATTGATTTCAAAGACTAAGCCTCTACTTCTAAGTAATAAATCTATAGGAAATAAGGCAGATGCTGTGAAGGATTTTTTTTTAATGAGCCAGTAGAAGTTTTAATCTATGTTTGCACTAACAAGCTCTAGAATAAAAAACAACCCTAGCTCACTTATGCATGTCACTTCAAAGCATGAAACACCTTAAAATGAGGATAAAGCTGAAGTATTTAATCTAGCAAGCTAACCCAATTCTGAATTTTCTAATACCATATAACATGATTAAAAAAAACACCTACTGAGGTATCAGAAATTTTAAATATAAAATGTCTGCCATCTATGCTTTACAATTATTTATTCAAAAGAAACTTGGATAGTTTTAGAACCATGATGACATACAGGTTTCTGAAGTATTTTGACAATTTATGACAACTTACCATTTCCTAGTGCTTCTCTAACACTTTAAGGATGTTCCATGTCACACACTTTGCAAACTGTCCCTTTCAAATGCTAAACAGCTCTAAAGTTAAATGTTAATGTTAAATATATGTAAGCTCTATAGAGGTGTTTTCTATCACTAGATGAAACAAGACTGCACTCATTAAAGTGTAGATTTCAATCTTCTTAGCCATTTCTAATCCACATGGCAACCTATGAACTTCAATTCAAGATTCCTTTATACCTGGATAGTATTTTTATAATATACAACCATGATTGTTCAGAGAACCTACAGAAATAGAAAATATGTCCTGCTTCATATGTTCAATACAAACACATACAGGCTTACAGTTTGATCCCCACTGTCTCCCTCAATACAATGACAAAAGGACAAACAGAAAATAGGGAAGGCTATCCTTTTTAGGTAAGAAACTTCACTGTGAAGCAAAAACAATTTTCATTAGAATAGCAGTATTTTTCTGGAGATGATAAATAGAACTAACAGAATTAGTTCGGCATTGCTTTCTAAATTTCTGGGATTTACATGGTTCAGTAATCTTCTCAAATTACTCAGCACTTTCTGTTTTTTTTTAAAATAGTTTTAAAAGTGCAATCCTAAAAACTAGACTTTGTTTTCTTCAATTATGCTCACCACAAATAGTTCTCTCATGCATTTTCATTCATCGCTGTAATCCATGATCACTTGTAAACCAGAACTTACTGTTTTTTTTTAATAAACAGTTTGAAGAAAGGCATGAAAGACCCAAATTAAGAGGCCCAAAAAATAGGAAATATACTCTGAGTGGGTTGGGAATAGACAGCAATTTAAATTCAAGTTAACAAAATACTACTGTTCATGTAATGTGATGTCTAAACAACAAACCCTACAATACAGTGGTGGGATTCAAAAATTTTTACTACTGGTTCTGTGGATGTGGCTAGGTTAGCATGGCTAGGTGGGCATAGCCATGTAATTGGGTAGGTGTGGTTTTTTTTGCAGCACTACCCCCACCCCCATCCTGTTTTTTGGGTCTTCCTGGCCTCAGGGGAGCCTCTGGGGGGATGTTTTTGCTCCTAAAGGCTCCCCAGGGGCTCAGGAAGGGGAAAAAACAGAGCATAGGTGAGGTATGCAGCACCCCTCCATGCTCCGTTTTGGGGCCTTCCTGGCCTCTGGGAGTGACAGTTTTGCTCCCAGAAGGCTCTCCAGGGATGAAGAAAAAAATGGAGCATAAAAGGGGCATGCAGCACCCGTCCATTTTGGGGCTTCCTGGGTGAAGCAGTAAGAAGCAAGGAGAAACCCAGGATTGTCGGGAGGTAAAAAGAAAGAAATACCTTAAGGAGTGGTGGGTGAGCATTGGGCAGACGGGGTGAGTGAGCATTAGGCATCGAGTGGGGCAAGCGAGTGAGTGAGCGACGACTGGGAGACCAGGTTGGTGGCATGGCCAGCCAGAAGTTACTACCGTTTGGCGACCCATGCCAAATCCTTGCTACCAGTACACCTGAACCAGTCCGAATTGGCTGAATGTCCCCACTGCTACAATAGGTTAACATGATGGTATGATTCATATAATTTGCTAAGACAAACCTATGTTACTACAACACATAGAAACCCAAATCCAATTTTAGTATAATCTAGATGATTTTGAAAACAGAATTAAAGTATATTATTTTTCCAAGGCCATTTGCACATGGAGACAATTTTTCAAACATACTATAGAGGAATATTAAAAAATATCCATTCTTTAAATACAATAAAAAAAGAAAAGCTGATTTAAAAACAGGTGTTTAAATCGTATGATATAACAAGCTATAGCTCTCTTGACGCTATTTTATGAAGAGTAGGATAAAAAAACATTAAACATTTTCATGAAGTATAATGATAGGTATCTATTATATTTTATTACTTAGCTACTAGATTTATATCCCATCTTACATGCAAGAGATCAAGGCAACATATATAGCACTTTATCTATTTTTGCTTCTAAGAACAATCTTTGTGAGTTGGTATACTACGGAAAGAAACTCAAATTCAGTAGTTACTGCAAGTTGGAACGAGAAAAAGAAAGACTCTTCATGCCAACTCTCTCCTGCTCAAAATTGAAAAAATAAAGTTTTATTTTGCTTCTGTTCAGTTTCCAAGTCAACCCACCAACTATACAAATGACCAAGGTCAAATGGTTATACTTAAAATGCATTATGCATAGACCTATCTTGCTAGGAAAGGTAGAAAGATAGAAAGGGAAAGGTAGAAAGGGAAAAGAAAAAGAGGATAAGCAACAGCAAAGTGAATAGACTCAGTGGTGATGAGTGTGCCATTAGGAAACCTAAAAGACCAGGTCAGGGACAGATTATCATGGAACAAATCTATATGAACACTAAGAGGAGAAGAAACTTGATGACACATAATCAGTCATTCAGATCCCAGACATTCACAGGCTCCACTGTTTTTGTCAAAATTAAAACACTGTTGTGATTCAAACATGAAAAGTTCTAATGTGTATATAAAAGGAGTGGGTTCTGTATTGCATTGAATGATCCTGCTTTCATCATTTGTCTCTCTGCTTTCCCCTGCAGATTGTGTGTGTGTGTGTGTGTGTGTGTGTGTGTGTGTGTGTGTGTGT